CAGATGAGAAGCAGGCAAGGCTCCCTCCAACTCAGCAATCTATCTCCTACTGTGAAAGAAGCAGTCTTCTGCTACCACCTAATGTAGCTAGTCGAGGAGCCAAAATAGTAACTGTCTAGGCCCTAGGAACACGTGAGGAAGTTATTTTTTTTCTTCTTCTATTTACAGCTTTACCTCCCTGTCTTCTGAGTTAGAGGTTGAAAGTCACTTTAACTTACTGTTCAAAGCCTGTGCCTCATGGTAATGGTTCAACCATCAATATTGTTATGAAGAGAACAGCATATTTTCAGTACAAGCCCTAAGTTGCTAGTTGGAGAATTTCACTTCCCAGGAAGGAAGAGGTAGCATTTAGGACTAGGGTGAAATTTTATACTAACACTGATCACGAAAAAAAAAAAAAATCACCAAAACTGTATTGTTTTGAGAAGACATCAGTGTCAGCCAGTCCAGAGCCACTAATGGGAACAGTCAGGAACATGATAATTTTAATTGAAAAGCTAGTGTTTTGCCAACTGAATATTGTGAAACATGTCCCAAGATTTGGGTTTGTTACCCAGAAGTTTTTGCAAATCAGAATAGTTGGTTTCTGGCTCACTATAGTGGAAGTCTATAACTCGTATCTGAATGTAATGAATCAGCAGACTAGCAAGAGTCTCAAATATCAAAGCTATTGGTGGTTTCAAAAACATCTACCCAAGCTGAAGTTGCATTTGTTTAGGACAAATTATGTATACTGACATGCCATCTTTATTTAGGTGAAGTAAGTCTGTGGGACTTAAACAATTGTTCAGTTATGTCTGTCTTTACACCTGACAGCAGTATCTCCTGTTTAACAGTAGCACTGAACAAGATGACAGTTCCTGTAGGTATGAGCGACAAACCTGCTCTTATCTTGAAATGATCAAATGCTAAAGCCATTAAAAATTCTACTGAAAGACTTATTTGGAGAAGAATCTACTAGTAGTAAGGAAGATCCCGAAGAAAACTAGAGCATACTTCAGACTCTAAATATTTAATTATGTAGAGCCACACCATGCATAAGATCCTGGCTCCACTGAAGTCAGTAGAATAAAGATTTCACCCAACTTGTCTTTGAGACTAGTAATGCAACACACTTAACCAGATTCATCTAATGACAAAAAGTTGTTGCTGCCCCAGTTACATATGATGCACATCACTTAAAGTCAACTGAAGTAGGTAGTTACACTAGAGATGAATCCAAGTCTCACTTCAGCAAATGTTTCATGTATTCTTGCATAACAATTGGAGACACATCCAATCCCATCCATTAGTCCTTAGACACGTGACAAGATCTGAAATAAAGATAACTTCTCCTATGATTGTGACAGGCCCATTGGTGGTTCACTACCATGTCAGCAATACTTGTCAGGTCTGACACACTCAGTGCACTCACACACTGCTCATGATGTTTATCTCAAAAGTAGCATGTATTTCTTAGAAAACTAAGAATTAATGAATAGTGACCTATTAATGTGTTAACGAACAAAATTATGAATGTATTGGAAATGTGACTAAAGTATGTTTAAACCAGACTGACAGGGGAAGTTGACAAGCAGATTTCACAGAAAAGGGACAAACACCTCAAACCAGGTGTGACCCAAAGGCAGTGGGCTAGGCAGTTATAGCCAACGTTGCAGGAAGATCATTTGTATTGTAAAAGAACAAACCAGTATGGCATCAACACCCAGGAGGGAAAAGGAACATTTCCTGGGAATACAGTTCAGAACACCTCATTTTAATGATTGACTGAGCCACAAAGAGAAGGTGAGGAACCCCTAAATTATTTTTCCATTTGAGTCAAAGAAGCCAAGTAGTTTGAGCATCTTATGTTTGGATTTTGAAGCACTGGTAAGAAAACTTGTTCAAACAAAGTAATGTTGAGATTTAGTCTTAAATATACTTTTACTTCTGTTTATATATCCATTTCTATCTATTCCTTTATTTTGGTGTTAAATACATACTTTTGTTAATATGTCTCTTTTAATTTTAGTAGTCCTGGTGATTGATGCCCATTTGATTTGCAATAGGTTATCCTTTGGTTTTTCCAGAGGAACACTAAAGAAATAGGGAGGGTATTAGACACACAACACTTAAAGGTAACAGCTGATCCATTTGTTATCCCTGCCACTAAGGAAGAACCAGGCTTCCTCTACTGGCTAATCTGCTTGGTGAGGTAATATACAAGACTGCCTAGGGTGGGGCTCACTTCCCTGAGCCTTCACACAAAAACAGTTACTTAAGAAGAGCCCCACATATACTTATTTCACAAACCATATTCCCTTTGGAGTATCGATAAGGAAAGCACTAAAAACAGATGCACATTTATTTAAACTGGGTTAATATGGCATGTTGGGGTTAACTATTCATTTCAGAGGTAAACAGGATGAGGTTTAATAAGGAGAAATGCAGAGTGCTCCACTTAGGAAGGAACAATCAGTTCCATACATACAAGATGGGAAGCGACTGTCTAGGAAGGAGCATGGCGGAAAGGGATCTAGGGGTCATAGTGGACCACAAGTTGAATATGAGTCAACAGTGTGATGCTGTTGCCAAAAAAGCAAATATGATTCTAGGTTGTATCAACAGGTGTGTTGTAAGCAAAACTCGTGAAGTCATTCTGCCGCTCTATTCTGCACTAGTTAGGCCTCAGCTGGAGTACTGTGTCCAGTTCTGGGCGCCACATTTCAAGAAAGATGTGGAGAAATTGGAAAGGGTACAGAGAAGAGTGACAAGAATGATTAAAGGTCTAGAGAAGCCTATGAAGCCAGGCTTCATGAACTGGGCTTGTTTAGTTTGGAAAAAAGAAGATTAAGGGGGGACATGATAGTGGTTTTCAAATATCTAAAAGGGTGTCACAAGGAGGAAGGTGAAAATTTGTTCCTCTTGGTTTCTGAGGACAGGACATGGAGTAATGGGCTTAAAGTGCAGCAGGGGAGGTTTAGATTGGACATTAGGAAAAAATTCCTAACTGTCAGGGTGGTCAAATATTGGAATAAATTGCCAAGGGAGGTGGTGGAATCTCCCTCTCTGGAGATATTTAAGAACAGGTTAGATAGACATCTGTCAGGGATGGTGTAGACAGAGCTTGGTCCTGCCTTGAGGGAAGGGGGCTGGACTCAATGACCTCTCGAGGTCCCTTGCAGTCCTATGATTCTATATTACATTTAGTAATCTGGGGACCAGACAAAGGGATACTGAATGAGCTAATTCTTTCCCAATATTATATGCTTAGTTAATTTTGAAAAGCTTAACATTATCTGCTGTCATCAAAATGAAATATCTAAATAGTAAGACTTCCCCCTTACAGAATCCAAAATAATGTGTTCACTAAGCTGCACACAATACCATAGGCACACTTTATATAGCTAACGGTAGTATTTGAAGATTTCCTGAATACATACTGATCCACAGATTAAAATATAAGCCCTGTGGAGAAGCATATGGACTATCAACTCCATTTAATATAAAATGACTTACCTTGTGAGAAGTGACAATCTGAAATGATAAGTGCCCAATCCTTTGTAAGAAAGAGGCATCTTCCCACCAATAAAAAGAGAAAACCTAACAGATACTTACCATCTGGGAAAGACAAAAGCAACTCTTACAGTTGGCAGCATAAGACTGCAACTGCTGGTTCTGCCCAATTTAGAAAGCAATTTAGCGCTAGAGAAGAGCATTAGGGACCAAGAAGTTACCAAGGAAGTAGGCTATGAGAGAAATGGCTTCATGGATATTGTGAATACCAACCCCAAATCATGCACAATAACTTTCGGGTCATACTCTTTGCAAGGCTCTTCAAATTGCCATGTTCTTGGACAAAGAGAGCCACCTCCCTTAAAAGCAAAGTCTATTAGTCTGCCTTTAAAGAAGGGTATGTAAAATCTCCTTTTACCAGTTAACCAATTAAAGTGGAGGGCATGCAGATGGGGGAGGGGTTGCTTCAGCCTGGCTGGATCAGCCTACCCTTTTCACCTGCCACAGGCAGGAGGCTGCTCTGGCCTTCCAGTCAGAGCAGTCCTGCCTGCAGGGCACCCAGGCCCACCACGGAGAGGCTAGCTGGAGCAGTCTTTGCCTGAGGGGCTTTAACCAGTAATCCTCACCCATTAAGGATGAGGCTTATCGGTTAAACAATCACATCTCTACTTTATACCACAGTGTCTTTGTCTATACAAGGTTCTAAGTGGTGTTTAAAAGCATCACTCTCTTAACCTACCTAGAAAGGCCCTTGGAGGTTTCCTATAGACATAGCTGCCTGGGATACATACAGCTGCTGGTCACATTTTCCAGCTTCTCAGATTTCTTAGGGCTAGAAATATTTCATTAAAAATGGAAAGTTTCCAATTTTCACTCACATGACTCTGGAAGCTGTCGCCATAGGCACACACTTACAGTTATATCTTACCACTACTAAGCTGGATGCCAAGTCTGAGGAGCCCAGCAAAGCATATGCAACTATATTTTGCACAGCTACAGATTGAGGTGTATATATCAATATTCCTCTCCCAGCACCAATTCAAATGAGGTAACAGCAAGAGATAACACAATGGCAATTGTGGAGTGCAGAAATATCAGAAGTGATATTCCTGGGAGAATCCTGCACCAAACATTAAAAATTCTGCATACAAAATATGCAAAATTATACAAAATTATACAATATACAATTGACAGTGGGAGCTGGAAGAGGGGTGTCAAAAATTCTGCAATAAATAATCCTATGAAGACTATTAATCCTGCACACGTTCTGCTTTTCATGGTGATACAGAATTCCAAAAGGGGTACAAAGAGTGCAGTGCAAGAAAATACTGTTACCACAGATCAGCACTCCTGCACGCAACTGAAAGTCAAGATTAAAGGAAAGCCCTTTAGGATGCTTGCTAGAATTCTTCCACTATAAACACATGCATAAAAAGTAGACACAAGACAGTCAAGTTCAAGACTAGCATAATTGCTACACTACCCAGAAATTGGACTCCCAAATGTGAAGTCACCAAGGCAACAGTTTAATATGGACATAAAAAGCATAAATTAGTGGCATTTTCTTCCTGGAAAGAATACATTCATCATATGAAAGCCACTGAAGTAACAGGTTGCTTTCTAGCTTGGAAGACTATTTTACAATTAGCAGTCGAATTCCTGAATCCCCAATTCCAGATGTGATGTTAACACAGAATTTGACAACTAGAGGCGTGGGATGTAGAACAGTTTCAGTTCACAACAAATGGAGATCCTAACTCAGGTTGTGAAATGGTGCTAAAGCAGTTAAATACCATTACTGTAGTACAGTCAGACTTTCAGTGCTTCCCCACCACCATACGTTTCAGGATTTACTTATTAAATGCTAACAGGGAGTTTAAAACAAACAAAAACCAAAAACCCCACAACACTACAGGTAATTCAATCTGTGCAGTTCTGAGGCCACCCTGTTTCCAATTATTTGGTTATTCAGTGCAGAAAGTTAAAGATCACAGAAAGTATAACAGACTTTAATACTCCATTAATACTATAGATTAAAAATATTGCATAGTCTTATGCATTTTTCCTAAAACATTGTTCTCTGTAAATTAAGCAATTTTTTATATAAAAGTCACACAACTCTTTAAAACATTTATAGCATTCACTACCTCGATCTTCTATCCTTTTTTGATTTGTCAGTACATTTGTCCATAGTCTTCTCATTATCTCCTCTGCACTTGGGGCAATACCATTTCCCCTTTGGCTTATAGGTGAGTCCAACACATGAAAAATGAAACCACTCAATAGGACACTGCTCATTGTCACATCCTATCATTTCTCCATAGGACACTTGGTCACATAAGCAGTAAGTTGGTTCATTGGGATCTATTGCAAATTCAACAGGTGAAACTTCTCTTTCTTGTTTGGCCTTGGAGCGTTTCTTTTTCTTGGCAGATTTAGATCTCTTTTCTTTAGGGGGCTGGTCATCACAGTCTTCGATCCCATTTGCTATATGGCACAGATCACGACTTTCACTGGTCCGTTGGCGACGGGGTCTACGTGAAGATCTTTCTGGTTGGCAAGTTTCCACTTTTACCTTTTCTAGAGGCTTTTCATTATCTGGCTCTTGAAAACACCGAGAATGGGTCTCTATTTGCCGAGCCCTATTCTCTACCAGTTCAAGCATCTGTGTAACTATCTGAATTTTTTCATCTCCCAGTTCTTGGCTGTTAATTAGTGCTCGCTGAAGATGCTGTTGCAACCTTTTCTTCTGAGTGGGATCACTTTCTGTCTTGTATTTCTCATAGACATCATCAATTTCTTTTAATGCTTCTATAAAAGAAAAAATAAATCAGCACAATAGTTTTTAGTCAGGGAGGAAGAATTATGCATCAAGAAAATGTACATTGAATTCATCCAAGTGGTAGTTCATTCCAACATGCATGTAATATACTCCAGTTAGCAGAAAATTTACCCTTTACCCGTGCTCAGGGAATAAATTCAATATTATCTAACTAAAGACAGTCCTCAGATAAGAAACTTAAATTTAATGATCAACAGAGTCTTCTGCTATAGAGTTTTTGCAAATTGTAGGGAACAAAAAAAAAAAAAAAAGGCTATTTAGGACAATGGAAAGACAAGTACACAACTGGCAGGAACTCTTGGTACACACTAGATTGCAATAGTTAAAGATTCCAACTGACAAGCTGGGAATTTAGTTAATTCCTTATACTGTCCAGTGGTAAAGACCAAAAAAAAAAAAAAAAAAAGGAGGAAATTTCTGTAAGTATTAAAACAGGACTTTCTGCTCTGGCAAAGATTAAACAGTCTTTATGCCTCAGTTTATCCTCATTCAGGATTATCCAACTCAAAAGACATTGAGGCAATGTTTTTGATCTACAGCAATCCTCCAATGAGTTACAGCAGTGGTCTCCAACCTTTTTACACCCAAGATCACTTTTTAAATCTCAGAACAGGTGAAGATCTACCACCCCGCCCCTTCCTTGAAGCTCCACCCTCTCTATTCTCCTCCTGTCCATCACTTGCTATCCCCAGCCCTTACTTACACACTCTGATAAACAGTTTATTTTTAAATTATGCGATACATACAATTAAAGTCACGTGTTTATAGTTATGAAATAGCATGAATAAAAAACAGACCATTTATTTAAATTAAAATGAAGCATTTATAATTATACATTTTGTGGGGACAGAGTACTGCGGGTGGGGGCAGGGGAGAGGGAACAGGGTGCTAGGAGGGCAGAGGACAGGGTTCTGCAGCAGGGGACAGAGTGCCAGTGGGGACAGAGTTTGGGGAGTGGGGACAGGAATGGGGACAGAGGAGTGGGGTGCCAGTGGAGGTATAGAGTCCCCAGCATCTCCTTCCTCCCAGCATTCTTCCCCCCCCCCACCAGGGAAACCAGCGTGTGCCTGCCCCAGGGCCGACCCCCCCGGCGCAGGGAAGCCCCGCGCATGCGCCTGCCCTGGCCCCGCGCGAATGCCTGCCCCGGGGCCAACCCCCCGTGCGTGCCGGGAAACCCCCTTCACGCCTCCCTCGGGGCTGACTCACCCCTCCTGTGCGGTGCAGGGGACCAGCAGAGCAGCTAGCGCACTTCTGGAATTGCCGGAAGTGGTGCTAAGCTGCGGGACTTCTGAAGCCAACACTACCTCCATTTTCTCTTGAGGTAAGTCGCGCGAATGCCTGCCCCGGGGCCAACCCCCCGTGCGTGCCGGGAAACCCCCTTCACGCCTCCCTCGGGGCTGACTCACCCCTCCTGTGCGGTGCAGGGGACCAGCAGAGCAGCTAGCGCACTTCTGGAATTGCCGGAAGTGGTGCTAAGCTGCGGGACTTCTGAAGCCAACACTACCTCCATTTTCTCTTGAGGTAAGTAGTGGGGCTTCTGAGGGGTGGGAGGGAAATGGGGGCGGGGTGGACAGGACGCCTCGCAAGCGACTGGTCGAGGCCTCGAGATCGACCAGTAGCTCACGATCGACCTGTTGGTGACCACGGAGTTACAGTAAGGCGGTGACCATGGAGTTACAGTAAGGCATAGCTCAATTTTGGCACTGAACAGCATTAGGATGAGTGCCATATGCAATAACCGTATTGATAGAGTTTTTTGTCCTATCCCATAATAAAAAAGTGTCCATCTACAATGTTTTGCCCAAATTAAAAAGATTCAGCTCTAACAATGAGTTTAGCTTTTTTCTGCCATATTTTGTTTTAAGATAAACCTTTTAAAAAGTTAGCCCTAAATTACATATAGTCAGTTTTGAAAACTGATTGAACAAAGCTACATAGATATAGACCAAGTCAATTTAAGCATGTCCATACAAACCTTTCAATTGATTTAATGGGCCAATTTAAAACATATCTTGGTTAAAATGATGTTTAGACAAGGCCTTAGATTATGAACTTTACAAGGCAGTGGTGACATCTTTTACATTTGGTGCATCACAGAACCCTTTTTTTGTGCAAGTTATGAACTATCATGCCTCTCTCTTCCAAAACAAAAACAAAAAATCTTAACTGCAAGTTATGAATGCACCGAACTTAATTTTTCTTCTTGTATTCTGTTAGAATTATTCTTTCCCAAACTAAAGGTGACTTATTTTTATTAAGCTTAAAAACCATGATAAAAGGCTTTACTAAACATTGAATACACAAATGCTAATATTGGTATCTTTAAAGTTTTATGTACAGTGTACCACTGTGGGCAATGTTAGACACAGTTGTGACTTACTGAAGTTCCAGAGGAAAAATTACAACTACAAATGGCCTGTAACTAGTTAGTCTGTTGCATTTTCAGTGTTAACATATTTTGGATTGCAAATGATGCAGGTGAATAGCTTATGTAACAACTTCTCCCATTGTAACAGACAACACTTTCTGAAACTTCATGATTTAATACTAGCCTACTTACAACTTAAGTTGACAGAATTCCTTTGAAGTCTGTCTATACTATTTCACCCAGCAAACTTGAAGTCCTAGAACAGTGTTTCTCCCTTCCTACCCTGCTCCCACCTCCCCCGCCCCCCAAAAGAAGTGGAGTTCAAGCTCTGCAGCTCAAAGGCAGAACCTATTTCAGGCAGTCCCCGAGTTACGCGGATCCGACTTATGTCTGCAGGGAGACGGGGAGCAAAGCATTGGAGCACGCCCGCAGCGGGATAGCCTGCAGTGGGATAGCCCGGGCGCGCTTGAGCTGTCCCCCTGCGGGTGTGCTCCGCGGCTTAGCTCCCCGTCTCCCTGCCAGCAGACCAGGGAGATGGGGA